AGACGTAAAACGGCAGTATTTACCTAATCTTTTCCTTCCTCTTGACTAGTCCTTACTCTTGATAACATGTTGCAATAGTTTATTTTCTCCTCTGCCAACCATTTCCCCTAAATGGAAAGGTAATTTCATTTTGATGCCAGGATTCTTTTTGTCTTTTCATAAACACAAGAAGGTTACACAAAATGTAATCCAGCTAGCCTGTAACCCTTGGACACTTGAAGTGTTCAACAAGTGAACCATTTTCCATGATGCTAGATCCAGCAAGCTTTCTTGGGGCTCAGGCACTGATGATCTTGCCCTGTATTGGTCTCTATCCTACCCCAAGAAAGTACAAAACACAGGGAATTTAACAAATTGTGTTCCTGCTATGTGCTGAGTTGCCTAGAACATACTTAGTGCTCAATAAATGTTAACTATTACCACCATGAAGCCCTGGTGGTGCAGTGGTTAAGAGCTTGGCTGCTAACCAAAATGTCAGCAGTTTGAAACTACCAACTGCTCCTTGGAAACCCTAATGGGGAAGTTCTAACCTATGCTGTAGGGTCGCTATGAGTTGGAATTGACTCAAAGACAGTGGACTATTTTTTTTTTTTTTTTTTTGACTACCACCACCCACTACTCATCTGTCAGTTTATCATACTGTGGTTGCTTGAGTGTTGCTATCATGGTGGAAGCTAGCCTACTGATATTTCAAATACTAACAGGGTCACCCATGATGGACATGTTTCAGCAGAGCTACCAGACTAAGACAGACTAGGAAGAAAGACCTGAAGATCTACTTCCAAAAATTATCCAGTGAAAACATTATGGATCACAACTGAATATCGTTTAATATAGTGCTGGAAGATGAACCCCCTAGGTTGGAAGGAACTTAAAATACACAGTGCCTGCAACAAGGGACTCCAGCATACCAACAATTGTGAAGATGGCATAGGACTGGGAAATATTTTGTTTTGTTGTATGTGGGGTCGCTATGAGTTGGAGCCAACTTGATGACAACTAACAATGATTACCACCACCGCTGGTACTACATGCTAGGCACCAAATGACCTCCAGATGTTGGTCTGTTGTTGAATATTGCTCAGAAAAATGTAATGAAAGGTTGGTCGTATTTATTGTCACATAGATCTAGGAAAGACCTCAATCCCTGACACTTTCCAATTAAGCTATTAATCCTTAGGAGATTACTATTAAAAAGTAATTCTTCCAGACAACTTGACTTTTTCTGTAGTGAACACTACAAATCCCATAAAGACTTTAGAAACAAAGGAGTTGAACCACAGAGGGTTGAAATAGTCATGGAAGTTTTGACAGAAGATGTGTGATTTGGACTGGGGTTTAAATGAGAAGTAGACACTATTAGAGGCAAAGAAAACATGAGGCATATCACAAAGGTGAAAGACTAATTTGACTACAAATGGGTATAGGGGAGCATTCCTGTTTTGAGAGCTAAATTGGAGGAAGTATCATCTTTCAAGTTGGGTCTTTAAAATACCATTTCCCGTCTACTGGTGTCCTTTTCTTTGCCTTCCACAGTGACTGTTCCAAACTTTTCTCTCTAGGTCACCAGACAATCTTAATCTCAGTAGATGATCTTGCCTCTTACTTTACTAAAAATCATTCTATATTACTTTCTATGCACCTCAGATTTTCTCTCCTTATTCACTCCTGACTCAGAGGAGATTTCTTTACTCTTTTCCTACCTCATTTTCAATGTATCTCCCACCCTGAAATATTCCCTCAGTCTTGCCAAAACCTAGAGTTCCTTTTTTCTCCTTCAGTAAGATGCCAAACTTTTCAAAAGCATAGCCTATGCTTCCTGCCTACTCTTTTTCATGAATCACTCTCCCTTATTGTCCCGCAATCTATCTTCTACCCATCCTTCTTCTGACCCACCTCTGTGAGGCATTACCTTATCTCCAAAGACAAAATTTCTTTCATTCATCTTTTATGATTTCTCTGCTACATTTGACACTGCTGAACATTTGCTTTCTGAAACTCTTTTCTCCTTTGGCTTCCATTACCCTAAACTTTCCTGGTTCCCCTATCTCACTAATAGTTCTTTCTTAGTTGTTTTTACTTCATCTTTCTCATCTCTAAGTGTAGAGATATATCCCAGATTCTCCTTTCTAAAAATTTTTTCTCTTCTTGTCTTTATCTTCCCTACTCTCATGGACTTAACTAAACTCTACAAGAAGATTCAAGGAGCTGTGGTAGCACAATAGTTAAGCTCTTGGCTGCCAATTGAAAGGTTTGTTGTTAGAACTCACCAGCTGCTCCGAGAGAGAAGACCTGGTGATATGCTCCTGTAAAGATTACAGCTGAGGAAACACTATGGGGCAGTTCTATGCTGTTATATAGGGTCTCTATGAGTCAGAATCAACTTGCTAGAACACAACAACAAAAGAGGACTACTCCCATAACTATATCTTTAGCTCTGATTCTGTCCTAAACTCAAGACTTTATATATATATATATATAACCCATTGGACATCTTGTAACTACCTCACATTCAGCACATCCAATTCATTTCATTTCATTTCCTGCCCAGAAGCGTCACCTTCTGACCCCTACATGAATCCAGTTTCTCTGGAATAGAATTTCAGACTCACCTTTGAACGACTCCTCTCTCTCACCCTCCAATGTTCAATCAGTTAACAAGTTGTTTTGATTTTAATTTTGCAATGTCTGCTGCTTTTTTTCTATTTCCACTGCCATCCAACCAGTCTCTTGGGTGGACTATCCACCCATTGGTTTCTCAGTCTTGATTCTTTCCAAACTGCAGCCTATACTAACCCAACCAAACCCAATGTCGTAGAGTCAATTCTGACTCACGGTGGCTCCATATGTTACAGAGTAGAACTGCTCCATAGGGTTTTCTTGGCTGTAATCTTTATAGAAGCAGTTTGCCAGACCTTTCTTCCAGGGGCCACTGAGTGGGTTCAAATGCCAGCCTTCAGGTTAGCAGTTGAGTGCAAACCATTTGCACCACCTAGGGAACTTCCAACCTAGACTACGTAACTGTTATAAGAGAAACCCCCCTTTATAAGCTGTCCTTATCACTTCCTTGCTTGAAAATCTTCCATGTCAACTCACTGCCTACAAATAAAGTTAAAATTCTTTTAATATGCCATTCAAAACTCTCCATAAACTGGCTTTAACTCATCTTTCCAGCCTTCTTTCCCGCCACTTACCATGTTTCATCCAGGCTCATCCAGGCAATGTGCTATTCCCTAAATATGCCCAGTTATCCTACCTCTATCTTATCATAAACTCTTTTCAGGATTTTAGCCCTTTTTTTGTATTAAAAATTCATTTGAAAATATTAAAGAAATTAAAAAAATAAACATATAATTTCACCATTCTAAGACAACTGTTTTCATCTGAGTAAATCATTTTTATTCTACAAGAATCAATGTTTTACATAAACACAATTATAAGTATTTGTTATTCTGTGTTGTATTTTCACTTAAGATTATAACTTTAATATTTTCTGTTTCTTCATAATTATCACCATAAACTCTGCATTATATCTGATACACCATAATTTATTTTAAAATGTCCTAAGATTTAACATTTCAAATGCTCACAAGGTCTTACTGGTATAACCAAACCAAACCCACTGCCGTCAAGTAGATTCTGACTCATAGAGACTCTATAGCCACCTTGTAGGACAGAGAGAACTGCCCCATAGGGTTTCCAAGGCTGTAATCTTTACAGAAGCAGACTGCCACATCTTTCTCCCGCAGAGCCACTGGTGGGTTCAAACTGCTGACTTTCCGGTAAGCAGCCGAAAAATCTGCTGCACCACCAGAGCTCCAATAGACAATATAGACAATAATATAATGAAGTGTCAATTAAAAATCATTTTACTCCAATTAAATTAATCCTAGGGGTTTATTTACTTGGTTAAAGAGTTTATGACACTCTTACTTCATTTCCCAAACATTCTCCCCACCAGGAACGTCTTCCTCCCTAATCTTTATCTCTAAATTCTACTCACTTTTGGAAGGCTCAAATAACTATGACCTCTTCCTTAAAGATTTTTCTGCCTCCTCCTCCCACAAAGAAGTGGTCCTCTTCTTATCTGAACTCCCATAGCACTGTTCTTTGAAGAGTATGTATTTCATTTAAGCACCCTGGAGCAATGTCATATGTACTTCTGTCTTAAGTGTTCTAATAGATTGTAGACTGCTTGAGAGCTCAGTCCATTTCTTATTCTCCTTTGTAGTTACCTAGAGATTTTCTGTTCTTTCAAGCTGTCTGTGTATTTTGGTTATATTTTGTCCAGAATTCCTACGTGTTTCAAGTGAGGTCAAGGTGAGAGATGGAAGAAGCTTGCTCTGTCAGCTCAGTTAGACATATTAACATAAAGCCTTAGGATTCTTATTTCTTCTGCTCTCTAAAAAAGAAGCGGAAGAAATATATTCACATGTGTTGCACAACCTCAAGTCTACCATTGCAGGGCTGAGTTTCATCCAAAAGAAATACTGAAGAAGATTTGGAAACCAGGTTTCATAAACAGGTTATAGGGGAGATCCTGGAGAGAGTTTGTTTCCTAACTCTTCTTCTGTCTCAATGGGTCATTTTAAGGATATAAGTTCTAAGGCATTTTCTCAAAACGAGAGGTTAATTTTTGCCTCATAGTTTTTGGTTAATTCGAGGTTAATTTTTGCCTCATAATTGGTGTCTCATATTAAAATGTGAGGCACACTCTGAGCTGAGATCCAAGCTTTCCCATTCTCCCTACAAACAGGAAATGAAATCCGCCACTCCCCATTAATATGTAGCTGGTTCTGGTCTTAAGAAGACAACCACAACACTTGACCTTTCTACATTCTGAGTGCAATAACGACAAAAACAACACACACAGAGTGCATTATACAACTGCATTCGGTTAATATGAAGTTGCATTTCACACAATGAGAAATAAATCTGATACCGATTTCAGAATCAAGAAGAAAGTTTATTCATAGGTGCATTTCTATTACCCAGTCTATTCAGCTACAATATCCAGGCAACCTTTTTGCTACCAACTCAGCTTTTCTCATCTCCAGAGAGTATTTCAGTTCCTCCATTATGAGGCCACTTTTCTCTAATCTTTGCATAAAGTTCTCTGTGGCTTGACAAAGATCCTTACTCTCCTGAAAGGCAAACTGAAAAAAGAAATTTTTTAAAAGTTACAATTGAAGAACTGAGACCCAGCTGTATACTCAGTTATATACTCTGAACATATAGCAGTTAGGTCCCCGAATGGGGGCTCAGAAAAAGGGGCTTAAGTAGGGATCTGGGTCTTCAACATCATGAATCATTTGTATTTTCTGGCTCAAATATATATATATATATATACACACATATATAAAATAATACATATATTAATAGCATCCCAGTATAAAATATAAACCAAAAGAAGAGTTTCAATGAACATTGATCTGCTCAGTATTTTGGGGAGTCTAGAAGGATTTTAAAAACTTTTCACAGCAGTATTTCCAAGTCTCAGGCATTGAGTTTATGTACCTTGCTCTCTCTATACAGGCACACAAAATAACATCTCTGACCAATAAGGACTTGTAAGGAATTTGTGATGATGATAGTAAATGGAAACTTCTTTATATAAAAATGTGTATTAATGTAGTAGTCCATTCACTCCATTCTACAGTCAAATCAAGGCCAATCAACCCATTCAAAAACATCATTCCAAACTTAGTATGTGCCAGGAACAATGGCAGGCCCAGAGATACAGCTGGGAACAAGTCATCATGACCCCACTACTTACAAGGGCCTTCTCAAACTCAGTCTTAGGGGCTGGTACACAGACTGGAACGGCACCGCTCCACTCCCCGTCGATGCACTGCTGGTGCTGGGTGCCCACCAAGTGGTACCTGAACAGAAATTAGGGTGCAACTACACTTAGCCTTCCCACTTTCTGAACTGGGCAGCTGAGCCTGGTTTTATGTAGCTGTACTTCATACTGTGGTAAAAACGTGCCCCTGAGCCTTAATGCATGCTCAAGTTATCTCAGTATTACAAAATAATTATAAAGTAAAACCACTTTCCAGGGGTGGGAGTAGGGGGAGCCAAGTGATGATCAAGCCATAGAATACAGAGAGCTGGGAAATTCTGAACCTGTGTGTGTAAAGGTTTTTGAGTGGGAAGAGTGAGGGAAGAAGTACCTGATTATTCAATAACCTCAGAGAGTATCTGTCATCTGTGCTCTAAAAAGGAGTAGAAAGTTAGAGCCATCCCTCAAATAAATCTCAGTGAACAGACTAAAAGGGAGCAGTAGCTTTTAATCAGAAAAAAATGAAAGTTGACTGCAAAGTCCATTGGAGGTATATAATGAGATTGTCACACCAATGAGGTCACATGCCTCTGAGTTCATAAGATTAAGTCAAGAGAAAGAAAAGGCTAGGTGATCTGTATGCTGGGTGACCAAACCAAATCGGTGGCCATCAAGTCAATTCTGACTCATGGTGGCCCCATGTTTTGCAGAGTAAAACTGCATTCTGTAGAGTTTCCAATGTTGTGAACTTTCGGAAGCAAATCCGCAGGGTCTCTGGCTGGGTTCCATAGACAACTTTTGGGTTAGTAGTCGGGAGCTTAACAATTTGTACCACCCAGGGACTCCTGCTGGGTGACCAGGCAGTCTGAATTTAGGCTAGACTTTAATTAGGATGCTTTAAAGATGTGCACTCTGAATCTATTTCTGTACTTTTGTGTGTTCTGTTTTTCTGTAAGTTTTTTGGTCTGTGGTTCTTAAGAAAAATACGCATTTTTCATACTTTATCTTGTTTTAACAAAGGGAAAAAAATGATAAACTGATTAGGATAAATAGCGGGATTGGTATGCCTCCTAAGGACTGGTAAGAGCTAGTAGTAGGCTAAAGCAGCTCTCAAACACGGAATGAGCCCAGAATTCTGAAGCAGTAGGAAATCAGGAAGCTAGGTTGAAAAAGATTGGGTCATTCCCAAAAACAATGCTCCTAGCCAATCAGCAAGATCATATTTCTGAATGGCTGCATTACACTTACCTCTTTTCACAATAATAAGTAATGTTAGATCCTGAGTTGAAATCACTTCCTTCAAAATAGCCATGAGGTGGATTCCCAGGAGGGTCACAGTCTCCTGAGAGAAAGGGGTACAGAAATGATCGAGTTGAGAAGGCCAGTTAAACACAATTCGCAGCTCCCCCTAAGGGCAACTGTCTATGCCAGCACCGGTCAGTTTGATAGCACATAAAGAACTTGGGGACGTGTCCTCTAGGCATTTCCTTCTGATCTAAATCATATTTGTCCATGTGAAAGACCTCTCCCCCACCCAGTTCATTCTCTGAGTCATTAGGAATTTGGGAGTACTTTCTGACCGGCTGGAGCTCAAGGAAGGGAAGTTTAAATTATAGAGACGCTAATTGCTAGTGTACCAGAAAGAAAAAAATAGATTAAAAGTAGAGGCTGAAGAAGTAACTCCCTAAGACAAGAGAGAAAGGAAGTGGACTCAGAAGAGAGGTTGGAACAGAGCTGGGTAATATGGGTGTTCAGATAAACAGGAGAACAGAGCTGGGAGGAAAGGGGATGAGTCTGTGTAGAATTGTGGAAAGAGAGCTGGGCGAGGTACTAGGAGTTACGAGTTTTGATTCTAGTTCTTCCACTAACTATGTGGCACCAAACAAGCCACTTCATCCCTCTCATCTTTCTTCCTAATCTATAAAATGAGCAAGTTAAATAATATCTCTAAGGTCCCTTTCAGCTCTGAGATTATATGAGTATAAACAAATTGATCAAGAGGAAAAGTTATATTAAGAATGGCTATCATTTATTATAACATAAAAGTATTCAAAATAGTTGAGTAAAAACAGCAAATCATAAATGATCATGAATAATATTATTTTTGTAAAACAGTCGCACGCAAGCATATATGAACCAAGCATATATGAACAACAGAAGCCTAGAAAGTGTTATGTCAAAGCACTCATCATTCTTTTCGCTGGGTAGTAGGTTTGTGGGTAAGTATTTTCTTATTTTCTGTATTTTTCTACAGCAAAGATGTATTACAGGCAGTCCCCAGGTTATGAATGAGATCGGTGAGATCCATTGCTAACTGTGTCTTTAAGTTGAATGTGTAGGTAAGTTGGAACCGGTGCAGCTGGTTCCTATTTAGCCTTACCTTAGGGCAGGAAAAGGCTCGAAGTCTTTTCAATGATTTAAAAGCTGCACGTGCAGCACGTCTAGGTGATTATGATGAAGAATTTGTTGCGAGTAGGGGGTGGTTCAATCATTTCAAAGTGAGGGCAAATTTACACAACCTTAAAGGGCAAGTACAAGTTGTCCGTAAGTCAGACATTCTTAATGCGAGGATTTACTGTATTTTACTGTCGTGTTGTGTCCTTGAGTTGATTCAGACTTATAGCAACCCTACAGGACAAAGTAGAACTGCCCTGTAGGGTTTTCTAGGCTGTAATCTTTATGGGAGCAGATTGCCAGGTCTTCTCTCCCGCAGAGCACTGGGTGGGTTCGAACTGCCTACCTTTTGGTTAGCAGCCAAGCACTGAACCATTGCGCCACCAGGACTCCTCATGTATTACTCCAGCAGTTAATAAATAATTTTTAAAAGGTCAAAGATTGAGTTCAAAAGCTGAATAGAGGAAAGGAAAAATAATTTCTATGCATTGATTCAGGAATACCAGGTCAGAAAGGGTCTGGGAACTTCTAACAGCACAGTTTTGAACTGCGGGAGATGATGTGCACCCTGAGTCTAAACAGAAAGGAATCCGATTTTTTCAGGGACCTAAAGTAAATCGACAACATTGGTTTGGTTTTTGTTTTTTAACAAGCTTCCTAGATTTGAGCGATGAAGTACCACAAAAAGATAGCGATACCGTGTTGGGAGCTAGAATACAAACTACTAAATTAAAGCAGAGTAAAACAGAAATGGCCTGGAAGAAATGAACAAATACTTTAAACCTGTGCCAAGCTAATGGTGTAAAATGATACTACAGTGAAACCAGCGAGAGCCAGAACTCAACCGGCTTGCCTCGTTTTTCCTGGTCTCTCAAGTTTTCTGCCTTTGACAGGGTGCAGTCTTACCACTTTCCTACTGCTCATTTTAGTGCAAAAGTATTTGAGTTTTCCTTCTCTGACAGATTTCCACCTTCACAGGTTCCAGCTTCCACAGGTTTTACTGTATATGATTGTAATTTACTGCATGTATTATGTGTGTACGTTTTAAGTCAACACTAAATTTTCTTATTTAAGAGCATATGTAGTTTGTGCTTCTAAACTGCCTGTCCATTTGATATTTTAATAGCTAAAACCAAAATACATCCAGTTATATTAATTTACACCCTCATCAACATACATAGCTATTTCCTCATATCCTGAATGATGTTAGATATCAGTATTTTTAATTTTTTGACAATCTGACAAGTAAAAAAAATTGTATCTAATTTTAATTTCCATTTATATAATTACTAATAAAGTTCTATAGCCTTTCATAAATTTGGGGAATATAAAGGCTGTTTGGGGACATACCCATTGCCGTCGAGTCAATTCCAACTCATAGCGACCTATAGGACAGAGTAGAACTGCCCCATAGAGTTTCTAAGGAGTGCCCGGTGGATTCGAACTGCCGACCTTTTGGTTAGCAGCTGTAGTCCTGGCGGCGTAGTAGTTAAGGGCTACAGCTGCTAACCAAAAGGTCGGAGTTCGAATCCACCAAGCGCTCCTTGGAAACTTAGTCTAAGGGGCAGTTCTACTCTGTCCTGTAGGGTCGCTATGAATCAGAATCGACAGCAACGGGTTTGGGTATTTTTGGTTTGGGGACATGGTTTTGGAATTGTCTATCCTCAAAACTTTGCCATTTTTCTGTTGTGTTGTCTTTCCCTTACTGATTTCTAGGGGCTTTTTGTACATTAGAAATATTAACTCTTTAGCCATCAAATATATTACAAATGTTTTTGCCAAGTCTGTTACTACCTCTTAATTTTTATGATGTTGTTTACTATATAGAAGTTTTGATTTTATAATGTAGTTAAATCTGTCCATTTTTTCCTTTTAACTTCTGAGTTTCTTGTTACTGCTTAGGAAGGCCTTCTCTGCCTCAAGATAGTAAACATTGTCTCATATTTTATTTTCACAATTTAATAATTCTGCTTTGTAAATTTATATAGTTAAAGCCATTTGGAATTTATTTTTTATATAGTGTGAGCTAGAGCTCTAATTTCGTTTTCTTCCAAACAGATAACTAATTATCTCATTACTATTGAATACAGACTTTTCTCACTCATTTAAAATAAGCTGTTCTACTTTTCTGTGCCTGTAAATCGACTCGAAGTCACCTAACAACAACAACTTCGCTGCTTTAATTATATATTAATCATAGAACTTATAATTTGCCCTTTTAGTGCTATTTTGCTTATAGTACTTTATGGTTTCCTCCCTTTTGATCCAGCCAACTGTATACATTACTTACATTTGGAAAAAAAAAAAAAAAAAAAACTATGTTCATATATTTATCCTTCCAAATAAGATTAAAAATAAATTTTTTGTTTCAGGTATTTATTTAAATTTCAGATTCTGACGAGGATTGCACTGATATCTTTGTAATACTAAGCCTGTTCATCCAGAATTATGGCAAAGCTTTTCTTTCATTCAAGTCTTGTTATATGTCCTTCAGTAAACGTTCACATAGGTCTTGTGACTGAGATTATTTTTACATTTCAATATTCAACTAATGATTATTAATATAAAGTAAAACTGTTTATTTTCAATATTTATTTTGTATCCAACTGTGACGGTTAAGGTTATGTGTCAACTTGGCTAGGCCATGATTCTCAGTGGTTTGGCAGATATTATGGAATCATACTCCATTTTGTGATCGATATGAGCAGCCAGTCAGTTGAAAGCTAATCCATTTTCCTGGGGGTGTGGCTGCATCCAATATACATGAATGTTCTGGCAAAGCTCTCACTGGATCCTGCATCCGACTAGTCATCCTCTGATCTTGGGATGTGAGCCAGCAACCTGCCATCTAACCTGCAGATCTTGGAATTTGCCAGCTCCCACAATCCCATGAGCCAGGAGCCTTCCACTTTACCTGCCGATTTTGGGTTGTCAGCCCTTGCAACCATGTGATTCAGGAGAAGCCTCCAGCCTGACAACTGACCCATGGATTTTGGACTTGCCTGCCTCCACAACTGTGTGAACCATTTCCTTGAGATAAATCTCTCTCTCTCTCTCTCTCTCTCTATATATATATATATGTATATACATATATTCACACACGCTTCACTATTTTCTACTGTAAGAACCAGCCTAAGACACCAACCATGTACAACCATGTATTAAATTTTTAGTAGAATTTCTTTGATCTTTTAAGTATATTTTGTAAATACTAATGATACTCTATGACCCAACAATCCTTCTCAGAATCTATTCTATAAAAATAATAGCATAGACAAAAAGATACCCATATGATAACACTCACTTCAACACTTGCTATAATAGTAAAAATATGGAAATAAAGTAAATGTCCATTAATATGAGAAATGTGGAATAAATTATGGCATATCCACAGGCAGTCATTAAAAAGCAGGAGATAGAGCTACATGTATTGGTCTGAAAAAGATGCCCATTTATATTGTTTTATGAAAAAAAGCAATTAAAAAATATATAGTAAGGTGTTTGAAGGTGTGTGTGTAGGTATATGTATGTGTATGTGTTTATTTAAAATGTCTGCATAAATAAAAGATCACAAAATAAACACATCAGACTGATTACTGAGAGGTGTGAATTGTAGGAGTAGAAGAGGGAATTTCACCTCTTATTTTATATATCTTTTTAATGAATGAGTTATGGAGCCTTTTTTTTTCTGTTTTGTGTATTTTTCAAATAATAACTTTAAATCGTTACCTTGAAATAAAAAGTCTAATGGCCCAACTACCCTGCATTGGACCTAGTGGGACAGGAATATTCCTTGAGAAAAGAAACAGGTGTGGTTTGGATTCATTTCATTGGAATGTATCACTTGAGTTGAGATTTGGTTCCTGTGAGCTCCACTTGTTTGTAGTTGCCTGCTAGACCCTACATCTTTCCCAGATACAAAAAAGAGGAAAGCATCTGTTGTGGATTGAATTGTGTCCCCAAAAAATATGTGTCATAAATCTTAACCTCTATTATTGTCGATGTAATTCCATCTGATAATAGAGTTTTCTTTGTTATGTTAATGAGGGCATACCAGTGTAGAGTGTGTCTTAAGCCAGTCACCTTGAGGTGTAATAAAAGCAGATTAGGCAAAGAAGCAAGCAAGTATGAATGCGGGGAAGATAGATGCCACATGGAGATCTCCAAAGAATGGCAAGAAAAATGCTAGAAAAGCTAAGACAAGCATTTTCCCTCAGAGCAGACAGAGAAAGCCTTCCCCTAGAACTGGTGCCTGAATTCAGACTTCTAGCCTCCCGGTGAGAAAACAAATTTCTGTTTATTAAAGCCACCTGTTTGTGGTATTTCTGTGATAGAAGCACTAAGACACTAAGAATTGCAGGGATGTAGCCAATGCCTAGGAAGTCACTGTTAATCAGTATCTTTGGCATTCACCATTGTTTCTCTTGCACTTACTACTTTGGCAGATGGGAAGGGGAGGTGCCCAGGTGTGGTCTTCTAGACACTGGCTCCAACTGCTGCCCTTGAGGATATAGTGATCGTCGCATTGAAATGTGATTTTGTCGCTCACCTTCACAGGCCCCAAGGAGTTGAACTCACCATGAAACAGCACAGGGTCAGGACAGTGGCCCACTGAAGAAGCAAACAGGCAGTGATCTGAAAATGCTAGGCTGAAGCCTGCCATCGCAAAAGTCAGACCTCTTTGGGCTTCAGTGAGAGCACAGGAAATGAGACCAAAAGCAGCACATTTTTAACAGGGACAGGTACATGGTACCAAACCTTATCAGTGCATCATGAGAAAAGACTAGGTTGACATAAGTATGGCAGAAAAGGTCTTAGTCATGCATAACAATCACATGAATTGACAACTGAATTTACTAAAAGTAATTAAGCATATAACTGGAAATTACCAATAGCATGTTCATTATCCTATTATGTTAAGCCTTGCTCAAAATTCTTGAGTCCTATGTTGATTGTTTTGTTTTGTTTTACCCATGATGTAGAAAAACAGGAGAGAATTCAGAGGGATGTGAATTTGATAATATGAATAAAAGATAAAAATATTCACGTGCTTTATTGTAGAAAAGAAGGTATAAAGGATAACTAATCCAGTTATTCTTAAAAATAGCAGTGATAAAGAGGATACAGACTACTTATTCTTCACCTTTACAAAGGATACCACAAATGAGCTTTGCAACCTTGAGCAAGTCACTTGGTTCTTGGTTATCGCATTTGTAAATTGAGAACATAAATTTTTCCCAGTTCAAAAGTTATATGATGGGTGAAATAAAATGATATGGCATATTTATTCCAAAGTAATAAGTGAAAGTATAGATGAAACAAGATTAGTCAGGTGCTGATAGTTGTTGAAGCTGGGTGATGAGTACATATGAATTAATTTTACTCTTCTGTCTGCTTTTGTATGTTTGAAATTTTCTATAACCTAAAATGTTTGAAAGTTGTATGAGATTCAGCAAAATTGAAATAAGCTTAAAGTATAGCCAAAAAAAAAAAGTTTTAATATATGGAAAAAAATCTCTCTTTCCCATAAGGATGATTGATTCCATTAATTCAATTAAACTAATAGTGATCGAGAGCTGATCATATACCTTCTAAGAGATGTTCCATTTCACTCTTCTGTCAACTTTTATATGTTTGAAATTTCCCATAATATGAAAAATTTTAAAGCTGTATGAGATTCAACAAAACTGAAATAAGCTTAAATTACAACAACAACAAAACAGTTTTAATATATGGAAAAAAGTTTTCCTTCCCATATTGATAATTGATTCTATTAATTCAATTAAATTAGCACTGATCAAGAGTTGATCATGTACCTTCTAAGAGAAGTTCCATGACTTAAGGTACTTTAAAAATGGATTCCTAGAAACTGAGTAATTTTTTCTTATAAAGTGTTAACGCGGCCTACTGGAGGCAGGACACGATAGAATACAGTGGATGACAAAGTGAGTAAGGAAGCAGGAAGACCAAACTTACAGAGGCACGTGGGAGTAGGGGCATCCCACTCCTTAGAGGCATTACAAAAAAGTGTTTTCTTTCCTACCAGATGATAGCCCTTGAGACAAAAGTAAGTTCCCAGAATCTGTCCTTCCACCTCCTGTGCAACAAAAATGCTATTGTTCACTGAGGGAAGCTCTGGACAGTTCTCCGCTAGAAGGAAAAAGAAAACAGATTGACTTGGCATATCATGTGCTGTGAGGAAGTTCCTGTTAGATTCCCCCAACCAAGCGTTCTTTTTGCTGGATTATTGATTCTGATTCTGTCTTGTACTCTTTCATGTCCATGTACATACACGTACCTCCCCTTCCCAAAATTTCCAGTTTTATTTCTACAAAGATAACAGGAATTTCACTCAAATTAAGCTACAAGCTACCCACTCCTAAAGAAACAACCCCCTTCCCAAATAGCAGTCCTGGAGTTTATTAACAGGTAAGACCTCTCAGGATTTTGAAATTGGTACTTTTTTTTTTTTTTTTTTTTTTTTTCTCCCAGAACGAAAGGGAAAGTTAAACTGGTAATCACCCACTTAAGAGAGGAGGATCATCATTAAATATTTACTAAGTCCCTACCAAGTGAAAGACATCAGACCAAGAATTTGAGATTTTTCAATAAAGGAAAAAATAATCTCATTACAACTCTAAACAGAATACATCATAACCCACAAGCTGATATCGAGTGCCTTGTAAATGGAGCTTAAGGAAAAGCATACATACCATCTGAGGCAGAAATCAGCCATACAACCACAAGATAGCACACAAATTGAAAAAACATCTGGTGATCAATTACTTGACCCAGGCTGGAATTAACCCAGCCCAGACACCTGATTTGAATCGGACTAAATCTTCTGATCTTACTGAAGACCAGACAAACCACTTCCCTCCTAGAGAAGAGGTTGTTCTGGTCTCCCTTCCCCTGAGGATACGAAAAACAAAAAAACAAATCCAACCACAGGAAATAAGAACAGCTGTAAGGAAGGTGGTACAGGGAGGTACTTTGCAAAATCACAAAGGAATGGAAAAAGAGCTGCTAAATTTTAAAACTCAGTTTCAGAAATTGCCCAGTTTCTGGGAATGCAAATTCAGGTGACCAGTCCCCTTTGAACTTCTGGTTTATCCTTCCACACAGACTTGGCCAAATCGTGTTGCCATGACATTGACCTCTGTCAATGTTTGCCAGTGTTTACAGTCCATCTTCTGTAACTCTCTCCAGCACCGGGGGTGGAGGGGAAGGTGCCAACCTTGTTCATAACTCTTACAGCAATTAGTTGGTTCTCTGTGCTTTAAATATAAACTCAGGGTAACAATTCCTACAAAATTTTTGGTTTCAATAAAATAATAAATATAAAGCACCTAAGCACAATAGTAAGTTCTCAAATACTATTCTCTTCCCTACTCATTATCATTACTTTGTAATAATTCTTTTATGTCTTTCTCCCACAATAGACTCAACTCTAAGACAGAGATTTTGCCTCATTTGTGTTTGTGTTTCCTTCCTCTTCAACCCATCATGCAAAGCAGAGTTGTCTGCTAAATGAATATAAGAAATGTAGGAATAAATGAAAAGAATATAGTCAACTGGAAACTATCACATTCCCTAAAATCCATACTGATCATTTATCAAATATTGTATGCTGCCTTATTTTTTTCATACCTTATCTTTGTTTAACTGTGAATTCCTAGAGAACAAAAGTATAATTTTCAAAAAGTTAAAAACATGATACTCATGTAAATACAAAATATAAAATTTATTCAATTCATTAATTAATGAAGGAACCATTCAAATGTTAAGACAAGTTCTAAGGAGAATTTGAAGAATAGAGATTTATATAGCCTGTCAGTCAAAGGCATTCTTAAATGGCTTTGCTAATAGATGTAAAACTGGTTGGTATCCTAGAGGGCAACTGGTGTGCAATGGGTTTCTCTTTATATATGGCCTTTTTGACCTTGGGTTTATAATTCTGCCAAAATAATTGGCTGGGCCACAATCTTGCAAGGGATTGATTAGTTTACTATGCAAATAAGGTAAGTAAAACCCTTGCAGGGATTGGTTGTGTACTATGCAAAGTGGGTGACTGAGGGGATTGGTCTACTGAGGTGATTGGTTGGTTCATGGTCTTGCTGAGGGAGGGGCACACCTTGAAATTAATAAGGAGCTTGCTGTGTAAGCAGCTTGCCCAACAGAGGTTTTTAGAGAGAGAGAGAAGGAGCTGTAACCCTGAAGATGGCAAGAAATGACGTGTGATGGCAAGAAGTGCCTGAGAGACAGCAGAGCCCAGCGGTAGTAGGCCTGAACAAGGCCCAGTGGCAGTAGACGGGAGTGAAGGGCCTGCCTGTGGACATGGCCAAGGAGAAGCTGAGGGCTGCTTTGGTTGGAAGCTGTCCTGATTGACAAACTCTATCTTGCCTCCTAGGCTGTTCCTGTTACTTCCAAGTTGATCCTAATCCCAAGTTGTAACCTGTTAAACCGAAACCAAACCAAACCCGTTGCTGTCAATTCTGACTCATAGAAGCACGATAGGATAGAGTAGAACTGCCCCATAAGGTTTCCAAGGATCAGCTGATGGATTTGAACTGCTGACCTTTTTGGTAACTTGTTACCTCCCTCAATAAACCACTTAATTGTAAGTACAGTTCACAAATTCTGTGAGACATTGCAGTGACTTACTGAACTCAAAGATGGGAGAAAGAGTACTGAGGGGAGGAGGAGGAGTTGGTGTTAGAGATGACAGAGTGGTATAGGAGTTTGGAGAAGTTGGACATTTGGGACATCTTTAACTTCTGCCTCATAGGAACCAGCTTTGTGTTGATTCTTATTAAAGGGATCATTTGTTTAGCAACAAACTGTAATGTTTGGAAGTAGCTTTTTGATCTAATGGAAATTAATTGTATCTCTAATGGATAAAATTTTTTTGTATTATTCTCAGATAAGAATCGTTTGCATTCCTGTTTTCTACAAATTGGCTTCTACTCCTACAAAGTTCTAGAAGAGTCCACTTAATAGAAAGTCAATCAAAATTGCTCAAGCTATGGAATCAATAATTCCTAGAGGGTCTACTAGACAATGTTCAGTAATCCATTGAAAAATTACTCCAGTAATCTCTTCTTGTCTAATCTCAAATTTTGAGTGATTTTTGTTGGCACACTACATATTCTACTTCTTCAGGAATACCTGTTCCTCACAGTGCTTTATATAGAGGTATGTACATAAAGTTTGTACATTAAACAATTGATTAAAAAAGTGAAAGAAAATTTAGTTTAGTACTATGTAAACAAAGACATAAAACAGAGCATTTATTACAGGAAACTATTGCAAATAATTCTTTATCTCAATGGTTTATTTGATATTCAGAATTACAAGGACTTTAGAAAGATATTATGTTGCTTACACTGTAGTCTCACTAATGTTTCTCCATGATTGTATAAATATCCACAGTAAGTAGAGTATATATTGTTGGGTGCCGTTGAGTTGATTTTCAACTCATAGCAACCCCATATGACAGAATAGAACTGTCCATAGGGTTTTCTAGGCTGTAATCTTTACGGGAGCAGATTGCCAGGTCTCTCTCCTGCAAAACTGCTGGGTGGGTTTGAACTGCCAACCTTTCAGCTGGCAGTCCAGCACTTAACTGTTGCACCACCAGGGCTCCTTATATAGAGACTACAAATATTCTTACAAATTCAGGTCATGAGCCCTGGTGGCACAGTGATTAAGTGTTCAGCTGCTAGCCAAAAGGTCAACAGTTCAAGTCCACCAGCCACTTCTTGGAAATCCTATGGAGAAATTCTACTCTGTCATGTAGGGTCATGATGAGTCGGAATTGACTCGATGGTTTGGTTTGTTTTTTTGCTGTCAAATGAGTTAGAAGAAAACTGTTTTGAAAATTTTTGGATTTTGAAATTAAAAGTAAGGGGTCATGGGCTTATATATTTTAAGTGTCCCAGGTTGGATAAATTAGCAACTGTGCACTCACAGGCTCTTTTACTCTCTTGAACATTAAGGACAATTTTGAACTATTCCAGATTGTTTCCTGGAGAACAGGGGTAATAGGTGGAGTGAAGGAGTAAACTGTACTCAAACTGGTTTGATTGCTTTACAATGGAATGAGCAGACAATAATTAGTGGAAGAGACCAGAAGGTGAGATGGGAGGGTAGAAATACACAAGTCAGCAATACTTGGGCTGGGGGAAGAGTTGTGGGAAGTCACACAAGGGGCAACTGTGGTGTGTGAGAGATTCTAAGATAATTAGGGAAAGATATTTTAGGAAGTTCTATGGATATTATCGGGAGAAAGATGTGGTAGCATGCTTCCATAAAGATTTATGGCCCTGGAAACCCTATAGGGCAGTTCTACTCTGTCATATGGGGTCACTATGAGTCAGAATCAACTCAATGGCAGTGTGCTTGGTTTTTAGGTATGGGTGTTATAAATGGATTCCCTTTGGTCTTTGTCAAAAGAATTCAGAAAAAAATTACACTGCTTTTCCAATTATTTTTCTTGATGTTTCTTGAGTGCCTTACCAAGAAACATCTGGGCTAGAAAAGTAGCCTTTATGTGGATTATATGAGAATAAAACTAATATTACTTTTTTAAAGGTCAAGCTGTTCATGAAACATTGTAGAATAAACTGTGGAAGAGCCCTAAAATCTAGGTGCTTGGCCTAGGAATGGCTTCTGCCTAAGATGCAGGCTGAACTCCACCTTGTTGCTTACTGCTCACTGTAGGCTGTTCTCAGAAATCACACGATGAGGTTTGTTCCAGGAAACTCATGTTGAAAATTGCAATTGCTTGCTCAAGTTAAATATCAACCAATTAGATGTAGAGAATATTCTAAAATCTTTTGTGGTTTCCCCAGTAACTGCTTAGCATACAGCCAATCAAATGTTTTGCTGTTAGTTCCTTGTAACATGTAACCAATCAGAGAATTCTGCTGTTAGTTCTTCATATACATGTACTTAAACTCTTTGCTTTGGTAGAGCACTTATTTTCATTTTGTGGACTTTGCATTTTCCTGATTCGAATTGCTTCTGTTCCTTCCATAAAAGACTTCATTTTTACAGAGACTCAAATTGTGCACTTTGACATTTATGGTGTTAGAATTGTGGGATTCAAAGGTGCATTCCTGTGGCTGCCCCCAAAGAACCAAGGAACTGGGCTCTGGTACCAGCAAGCCAATTGGTTTTCTACTCTGTGGCCTCTGGGAAGTCACCATCAGATAAATAACCTCTGGAATCAAACTCCACTCTCCATTGCGTTGAGTTCTTCAAGATTTATTGGAGGATCTGTTTTTATCTGTCTCTTGCAAGAGATTGTTTGCCTCTGCTAGTGGCAGTAGTGTGAAGTTCTGGTAAATTATTGTTGTAAAAGTTTTTGAGTTTGTGGAATCTCGGGTTCTATAAGCCGCAAAGAAACCAAGGGCACAGGATAACCAGTAAAAACCATTAAGGTGGTCACCAGCCACAGAACAGTTAAAGACTCCCATGACAGGATAAGCTGAGTCATGAGATGGGCCAGAGATTTATATTGCCCACCAGCTACAAGCAAAATTTCATGCAACAAGCCACATGTTGTTTTAAGCAACACACCGTCCAAACCTCCCAGCACTTCCTGTTAGGATTTTGTGAAGTCCGGGAGTCCTAAACTTTAAACAAGCTCAAACCTTCTTTAAAATGGGAAATGACATACCTAGGGACAATGCAGAATTCCCTTTTGGGACTCCTGCTCACTATATGGATAAGCACTATGGCTCTGATGTCTGCTTATACCTATCTGC